TGAAATCCCACTTCAGGTGAGAAAAAGAAAAGAGCCAAATTATCCAACCCAAAGTCAAAAGGCTTCTCTGTCTTTTATCCTCATTGAAACCCCCCAGGACCCATTCAAAATGGGCCAAAAGGTGAGTGGGGTTTGGTTCACAGGCCTCTGGGATTAGAGGTATCCGACAACATGTCGACGGACTTAGTCATTTTTTTTTAATGGCCTTCTTTATGATTTTACTGAGAAAAGTTCAACCTGAAGTACACAGTGTTATATTGTAAATCCGTAGGGAAAACTACGCTCAAAATAAAATTAACCTTTGATTCGCTTTTTACGTGTGTGTGTGTGTGTGTGTGTGTGTGTGTGTGTTTGGGGGATTGAACCTAGGACCTTGCACATGTGAGGCTAATGTTCAACCACGGAGCTACACTCAAACTCATTCCTCTTTGATTACATGAAAAAGATTCTAACCTATATATATATATGCTAATCATACACTAAAATAAGCTTCTGCTCTGTAGGGTTGCTATCCGGTGGAAACAAATACAACTAGTTGGATTCATGTGACACTTTAAGATTTATAATAATTTCAATGCGAAACATAAAAAAAAGGAGTTTTTGAATCTGCACAGGAAAGGGAAAAGAGGATTTACTCATCATCATCATCCATTCTAGCTCTTCATAGTCAGAAAATTAGCGCCCTGGGGTTTTTGCTAGAGAGTCCACGGCAAGTTCAGATCTTTCTCACGAGGATAGATGGTGCTCACCAGGCCTGGCTCTCCAGCTCGAGACACTGAACCGTGTACTCGCTGGCGTCACTCAGAGCCTATAGAGAAACAGACCTAAAAAGAAACCCCATCTAAGCACATGAAACAAGCATAGTCATTTAGTGTGTTCCAGAATTAACTCTTTCCCACTTTGACACAGTTTGCTATCACTATCCAGTAAAAATGATCATCTCACAGCCATTCATACTTACGGTGGATATTTCTGGCAGGCCCTCCTTAGTCCCCGCCCCCATAACCCTATAAAGTAGGCATCATGATCCCCATTTTATAGATGAGGTGACCCCGGCTACCACAAAGGGAATGATTTGCCAAAGGTCACACAGTGAGTAGGTGGCAGATCAGAGATATGAGCCCAGCTCCATCTAACTCCAATCTCACGCTATGTATTTTGGATCTTTATTATTTGTCAGTCTGTTTCTACTAAAGTGACTTTCTTACAGATAAACAAACAAACAAATACATAAATAAATTTTCTCTCTGAAAAACTGCAAAATCTTCTTGGGCGAAGAATTTTTGAATTCCACCCACAATGGCTCGTCTCAATTATAACCAAAGCATAAACGGCAGGTTCTAGGCTCTTCTAAAGAATGCCAGAGAAGATAGAGCAGTCTGCTTGTGTGAGGGATCCCACTTCTAATCCAGAATGCAGGCAATGTCACAACGGGGATCCTCAGTCCCAATCCCCTGTCACCGGAAGCACTGTTAAACTACCTCCCAGAGAGTGGTTTTATTTAAAAAGAGAGTGAAAACAGAAAGGGAGAAATTATGTAGCAGTCACCTTAGAGTTTTGTCCTGTCGCAGCACAAAAGCAAGAAAATCTATTCTTCAGCTCCCCTGAGCACATAAAAATCCATAATTTCCCACGGTTTATGAACTTTTCCATCGGTCCACTCCCAGCTCACACCAACATCCCCAATTTGCGTGACAGCATAATGGAGCCTGGGGGCGGCTCTCTCTGGCCTCTTTGCCTTAGGATCAGCCCACACACCTCCCACACAAGAAAGGCAGAAGGTTTATCCCCTCTGTGTTTCTACTTTAGAAAGGGAAACTCCCCTCCCCCAGCCAGCTCTTGGCTGGGAACATGGCTACCTGAATTTCCCACGGGCTCCCAGGCAGCAGGTGGGACCCTGTGATCAGGTTCTAGCTAAGAGGACGCAGGCCGAGAAGTCTCTGGAATCGACTTGCACAAGTGACCCTGAGTGTGTGTCTGTCCTTTTGAAGGATCTTGGGCTCTCTCTGGACTATTGACTTAGGTGAAAAAAAAAAAATAAAGCCTAATGTGTTTTCTATTAAAAATAGTTGATCCCATTCTAAGTAGGATTCACTTTAAGAGGAAATATCTGGTACCAGAAATAATCAGATAAGAAGGCGCTCCTCTATGATTCCAGAATTAATCCCAGGCAATGCTCAATGCCAGGGATCAGTTTCGTTCCTTCCTGGATATACCCCATCCTAAATATCTCAATTCCAGGGACTGACAATCGGTCACACCCGCTCTCTTCACCTCCCTATTCCGACCCAAGTGAAATACACTGTCAACGTACGCAGCAACACAGCTGAATGTCGACTCTTACTCAGCTAACAGTTCCATGGCAAAGCAACCCTACAGAGCTGCCCTACCCTGGCAGGTAGTTTGGAGACAATTGTAACAGCTGATTCTTTCCTGAGAGGCAATCCTGCACCACATTCTGGTCCAAGCATCTTAAATATTGTAATGACTTACAGCTAGCTGTTCAGCAACTCTACGGTGGGTACTGTTATTGGCCCCATTTTACAGATAAAGAATCTGAGGTACAAAGAAAGTAATTAAGTCTCAAAGTCATGATTCAACCCCACATTAACTTACTTGGTAGCCTCTGCACATGCCCACAGGGTGAGGGGAAAGAAGATGATTCACAAGATTTTTTTTAAAAAGTGGGCCAGGGGAGCCGGGATTGTGGCTCAGTGGTAGAACACTTGCCTAGCATGCATGAGGCACTGGGTTCGATTCCTAGCACCATATAAAAATTAAACAAATAAAATAAAGGTACTGTGTCCATCTATAACTAAAAAAAAGTTTTTTAAAAAGTGGGCCAGGGGCTGGGCTACAGCTCAGTAGCAAAGTGATAGTATGCATAAGGCACTGGGTTCAATCCTCAGCAGCACATAAAAATTAACAAATAAAATAAAGGCATGATTTCCATCTACAACCACAAAAAATAAAAAGAAAAAAAATGTATTTAAAGTGGGCCGGGTGTGGTGGTGTAGGCCTGTAATCCCTGCGGCTCAGGAGGCTGAGAAAGGAGGATCATGAGTTTAAAGCCAGCCTCAGCAACTTAGCAAGACCCTGTCTCAAAATAAAATATAAAAAGGGCTGGGGATGTGGGTCAGTGGTTAAGCACTCCTGGGTTCAATCCATTCTCCAAAAATAATAAATAAATAAATAAATAAGAAAGGCACTCCTATCTCTAAAGTATCCATACTTCATTAGAAATTTTAATTCGTTCTTTCTCATTACATCAGAAAATTCCTATCAATTCCTAAATTTCCCAGGCTTTGAACAAAAGGGTCTCCTGCTTCTGACGTGCCAAACCCACACATTCCAAAGTGACTTTCCTCGCCATCAATAATGGCAGAGCTCACAGCCCAGGAGAGCAGCTGCAAAAAAAAATGTTTAAAAGTCACCCCTGACCTCAGCAAGACACAAAGACAGAAACCCATTTGTGGAATTGAAAGGCAATCTCAGAGAAGAAACGACACATTCGGGCACCAGATTGCCACTGGTATTTTCTTTGGGGGTGGGGGAGGGGTCAGACAAAGTTCTAGAAAGCGATCCAAGTCATTTGTACCTGGGCCCAAGTGTTTGCCATTAAAAGGGATCTGGGAAGTCCTCTGGTGGGTGGCATGGGATTGAGGCTCCAAATCTTGGTAAGAAAGGCAGGGGCATTGAGTCTGCCCTGCCCCAGATATCAGAAAAGAGCCAGCATCTCAGAGGACAGCAGTGCCATGCTCCAGCGTGTACACAACTCACAATGCCACCCCCACTCACCAGGGATCTCTTGGCTTTTCCCTGGAGAGTCAAGGCAACCACTAAACCTTGGTGAGTGCCAAGTCATATTTCAAACCTTCCATCACTCAAGTGCTTTCTTCTTCTTGTCTAAACCCGGGGTGTTCAATTGACCCCCGGGTCATATAGTAGAAATGTGCCATTTTTCATCAAACTCAATTGCTCTTGCCTAAAAGTGGGGGTGGAGGGGGGAAAACAAAATTTCCAGACCAGAGGTTGCAAATTCAAATACCTCCAGGGGCCAAAAAGGGGATGAAGCAGGCCAGGTGGGAATGAACTGGGACAAAAAGGTGAACATGAGTGCCCCCGGCTACAAAAACAGCTGCTCTCCGTTCCAAATGATTGCTCTAACATCAAAGGGAGACTATTTCTCAGCAAAGTAGAAGTTGGAAATTCAGATGGATGTGAAACCTCCCCGTTCTAAAATGCTGACATCTAATTCACAAAATGTTTAACCTCTCTTAGGGGATAAACAAGTCCTTGCATGAGATGGCTTTGGAGAGCCCACTTTGTAACCCCGACACCACCCAAGGTCACTTTACACCTGATCAAAATAGGTTGAGTATACCTGGCTCGAGTCCAGGGTCTCAGACCCGATGCAAGGACCTAGGTAACTTGGGAGTCTTTCCTGTTTCTACCCACAAGATAGAAAGGACAATTTAAACCAGGATCTGAGAGGCACCCCATCTGGAACCACTTCTTTCAGAGGAGGAGGCGGCTCAGGGGATACCACAGTTGCTTTTCTAGGGGAGGCGCCATCTGCAGAGGAGGCAGCCACCTGCGGAGACCTCTGCAAAGCAGGAGAAGAAGCAAAACTTCCCCGTGCGATGAGAACGGGTAATAAGCAGGAAAGGGGGCAAGAAAGCTCCTCCCAAAAAGGGTCTCCGGAGACTCAAGCAGGATGGGACCCCTTTGCACTCTTCCATTCCTGGGAAAGGACAAAGGATGGATGCATTTCCTCCACTTTTAGGGCCTCCAGCTCCACAGGGCCTTTCCTGAATGGAGCATCACTGTCCCATACACATACACTTCCTAAAAGGACCCTTTTATGGTGAAGAATTCCTAGCCTGGGAGGTCACTCTGACAGGCGGGATTCCTTCCGCTCCACCAACTCCATCACTTCGGTCAAGTCTTTTTTCACCCCCTCCTCCCACCAACGGCATCCCCAAAGCCCCAGAGCCTACCTTGACACTGGAATCCCTGCTTCCCGAAGCCCCTGCGAAGGCAGAAGGAGGCATGTCAGCCAGAGGGGCCCAGCCACCAGCTGGTTCTCCCACAGTCACCCGCTCGCCTCCCCTGCCCTCTAGGCCAGGTGCAATCTCCCAGCCACAGGCGGGTGCCCAAGAGCCTTCCGCCTTGGGGAGGTGGGCGTAGGTGGCAACTCGGCGGTAACCCCCACCTTCCGTCACCGGAGCAAGACAGAGGGGACTGCGACCACCAGGTGGCAGGATGGGGGCGTGGATGGGGGGGTGGTGAGCATTTCCGTTGGAGTGGGGGCGGAAGGCAGGCTAGAGACCTGCCGTAGAGATGCCCCGAGCGCCTTCGGGCAAAGAGAAGAAATACAGACCCAGGCAGAGGGAGGAAGAGAGGGACCCCGAGGCAGTGGCGGTGGCCCCTGGGGACTAGGAAGGTGAAAAGGACGCCCCATGCCTGAAGGGACAGGGAGAAGAAAGGGCTCCCCCGCAGTGATGTGAGGGGGAGGACTGATCAGTGGGCAGGGAACCCAGGCCCTCGGGGAGGCGCAATAAGAGATAAACCCAGGGAACTGCTCTGGGGACTCGGAGGAGGAAAGGCTGTCCCATGCCCTCAGGGAGATAGGCAGAGGACACCTCCCCTCGGGGTGCTGCCCCGGGAAAGGAGGGGTGAGGGTTGGGGCGCCTGGAGCCCGGAAGAAGGCAGAGCGGTAGGGAACCCCAGGAGAGAGGGCACCCGAGGGGCTGCCCTGCGGAGGTGGGACAGACACTCGGTGCTCCGAACCAGCCGGCGAAAAGGCGCCCGCGATGCTGCCCCTAGGTGCCCTAGAGGCTCCTGGGGGCAAGAGAGGGCAGGAGGTGCCTCCCAGCCAGCCGTCTGGGACCAGAGGGCAGGGCACCTGCGGGACTGTCCATCAGGGAGTTCGGGCCCGAAGGGTCCAGGGGAGAGCCTGGGGCGAGGGGTACCGGCGTGGCTTCTCCCTCGGGAGCACCGAGGGCTCGGAGAGGGGGTCCCCGCGCGCGGCACTGCCCTCGGGGGGCCCCGGGGAAGGTGCCCTGCGCCGGCGCGCTCTCACCAGATGAAGTCGGTGCAGTGGCTGCAGAAGGTGGGCTGCTTGAAGAAGCGGGCGGTGAATTTGTGGTTCTTCACCTCGTGCACGTTCTTTTGCCGGAGGGCGCCTTTGCGGGCGAAGCGCACGGTGCTCTCCTCGCCCTCGTTCGGCGGCGGCCCCGC